CCCCGGAGGTTTTGGTGTTGAAAAAAAAAAAATGACCTTTTTTTTTTTTTTTCCCCCCCGGGGAATTAAAAAAAAAGGGTTGTGCTTTTTTTTCGGGGGGGACCCCCCGGAAAATTTTTTTTTAGTACCTTCCCCCAAGGGGGCGGAAAAACCGGGGGCAAATTTTTCCCAGCAAAAAAAAAGTTTACCCCTTGGGTTCCCCTTTCTTTTTCCTTGGGGGGGGGCTTTAACATAATAGAAACCCCCCCCCCCCCCCCCAATTGGGGGGCCCCCAGAAGCCTTTTCCGTTAAAAAAAAGGGGGGGGTTTTAAAGGGGAATTTTTTTGAAAAAAAACGGGGCAGGAAAAGGGGGGGGGGGAAAACCCTGGCCCAAAAAAAAACCCCAGGTTTTTACAAAACTTGGGCGGGGGTTAAACCCAAATTTTTTTTTTTTACCCTTTTTTTTGGCCGGGGGGAATTAAAAAAAACCCGCCCCCCCCCCCCCCCGTGACCACCGTATTTAGGCCGTCACTCAACCTGCTGTGTGTACCCCCCCCCCTCAAGTCATTGGACAGAAAAACAGGTAAAAAACCTCTAGATAGTTTGGCCGAGAACCTGGCTTGAGTAACAAGCAGAAGAAAAAAGCCGGCCACGGGCTTTTCCAAAACCAAATACATAACCTAAAAAGGACACCCTCTCGACCTGCTGTAACCCTCAATCCGTCCATGGAATCTCCCCGCCTAGTCAACCCCACAACGTAATTCCTCCTACCGCTGCAACATCCGGAAGCGCCGCGGCGGCGTTCTAGTTTCGTGGGATTGGACAAAAGCGCAGTCGACCATCCGCGAGCGGTTAGCTGCAGTCGACCCTCGTCCTCTCCCTAGCCTCTACCTCCTCCCCTCTTCTATGCACCTACAACAAATCTAATCCCGGCACAACCACTGAAAGCAGTCTATAGCCTCCCCCCAATCCCCCCCCTCCCCCCGCCGGTGGTCACTTTCCGTTTTTAGTTTACAGATGTTCTGTAGTTTTTTTCGCCCCCCCCCCCCCTTCACTCTTTCACCTATAGTTAAACCAACCGACTAATCCCCCTCCACCTGTCGACCGTCTCCGGATAAAAAACAAGCAAGACAGCACACCAGCATCCCACACCACGCAAACCCAACCGGGTAGAGGTCTACAGTGGTTTGTACGGGGAAGCGGAGCACTCACTGCTACCAGCGCTCACGTTGTTTCGCTTGAATTCCCAATATCCACCTACAGCCGGCACAAAAAGACAGAAGCTCCATCCCAAGCGGCGGTTACTACTCGTCGCCCCAGTCTCTACGCGAAACCTGCGGTGTTCTGTTGCTTGCGTCGTCTCGACAGCCAGCCAGTATACACGGCTCACACGTTCAAGCCCAGTACAGAAAAAAAAAAACGGTCGCGAATTAAGCTCGTGTCACAACTTCATCCAGCCGCTCCGTCAAAAGCCGCGGCGGTGGTCCCGATTATCTCCGGCCACACCGCCATCCCGTGCAGCGCCCCACGGCATCTACTGACATGAACCACCATAGTATCCATCGCCATCGAAACTCTCTTGACGGAATACAAAACTGTATCATTTCGTATTTTATTAGTATACCAGCCACAGCAGCATGTGGCCTAGCACCCATGCCACTGAAGGATACAAAAATAGAGGGAGAGATTCAAAAGCCCGAGTTACACTTGGGGCGAACCATCAACCCACCACCCCTCCCCCGCATATTGGGGGGGGGGTGGCACATCGCTCTTGAGCCCCCCTTCGCCTAGGCCTCCAAGATGACGAAAAGAAAAATACCAGTAGCTGATAGTGGCATCGGCGGACAAGCAGCCAAGACACGAACAAATTGACTAAAAAACTCCAACCGAACGAGGGTTGTCATTGGAAAAAGGGGAACCGAAAAACACAATAAAATGAAGAAAAAAAAAAACAGACCGACATCTACATGTAGGACTGATGGACTTGGTTGCCGCGATAGCAGACAACTAAACATCAAAAATCGATGGGAAAAAAACACGAAACACAAAGAATGGGTGTACCCTTCCCGCTCTCGTATTTTTCTTTCGATAACTGGTCAAGCTGCTCGACATAAACAAGTAGTAAATCAATACGTACTCTGTTCTACAATAGCCATGGAAACGCATCATGAAACAGACCGACACGACAGCAGGCAGCGGCACGACCCAACAACCGCAACACGTTGGTATTCTTCCGCTCTCTAGAAGATAAAACCCAGCGGCAGCGGGGGGACGGGACGATTTTAATAGGCCGCGTTTCCTTTCTTTTTATCGCGTGCTACGAAGAAAGTGCTTAAGAAGCGGCGTAAACCAAGACATCCCCACCACATAAATACTGCCGTGACGTGACAATCAACTCCTTACCGGAGCGGCCTACTATCGTTCGAATCGATTAAAGTTTTGAGACGTGCTGGGAGCCCCTCTCGCTTAGTGCAAAGGGAGTCCGGGCCGCTCTTAAAAAGTGAACAACAACACTCGAACCGCACGGGAAACACGCCCGGGTTTCAGGGCGTGCCACACCGCGAGGTCACTTGATTTAGACGAAACGAAATCGAAAAGAAGACGCGCAGAGACGACGTCGGAAAATACATTGACTGCGACAAGTCCACACCGGGAACCAACGACGGAAGCAAAGCTGCGCCGAGCAAAGAGAGGGACACAGGACCGAAATGGACCAGGCAACAAAAGGTGGGTGAGCAAGAAGCGAAGGAATGGTGGCTGCCGGGAGCGGCCACCAGACAAGACAGGCAACACAAAAAGCTAAACAAGTACGTTATTTTTCGAAATCTAGCTCATCATCCCGCCGCCGGCGCCTCCTCCTCTCTTCCCCCTAGACCTCTGTTCTCCTGTAAGCGGGAACGGGCGACCATCACGCTTCCGTCGCCGACATGCCCATCAATGGCGGCA